AGAGAGAGAGAGAGAGAGAGAGAGAGAGAGAGAGAGAGAGAGAGAGAATGTGTATACACACACACACACACATTCATTTAGAGCTCTATATCCACAAGTGCTTTAAGTACACACAACTCAAAATAGATTTTACAAAAATATCACAGTATTTTACAGATCCATTTATACAGTATTACTTAACAAAAGTTATTTCTGTCTTTACCAGCTGTTTTAAAAATGTGTGAAATCTGACCTTGTGCCACTGCAGTGACTTTGTGATCACCGAGGAAAGATTATACTAAACTGCTGATTTGTTATTTGTGAGGGTAAAAAAACCCAAGCACTTGATCTTTAATTTCACTGAATAATTACTCTGATTTACAAGCCCTATGATTTCCCTGCCCAGAATCTTTAAAGAAACAGATCATTAAGGTTTCCTAAACAGCACACATTAGTAGTTCTTTGCTTGTATTCATTTTTAAGGTTTAATATTTTAACAGAAGAGTTAAACAACAACAGATACAATACCTGAAGAAGGTCACTGAGGTCAAGTAACATGTCTGTGAAAAAGTCAAGGAATATAAATGCATGTAAAATTTGATAATTTGTTTAGCAACTTTATAAAAGGAGAAATAAAATCATTTACATCTGGCAGTGCAGGAATATGGATTAAGTAGTCTGATCCCGCATTCCTGCTAAAGAATCACATTGGTTTCAGTTCCTGAGTAAGCCCTACCTACTCTCACTATGGGACACAAGGTGCCATTACAAACAAAGTTTATATGTACGAGAAGTGTCTCTAAAAAAAGCAAGAAATCCTTTGAGGAATGAGCTGACTACACATACTGTATATTGTATTCTGGAAATCATCAAGTGGTACAAAATAGAGACTTCATTTTTGAAAATCTAATTTGTCACTTTTTTCTATGCCAATTTAGGACCTGATCTCTCATTGTGCAGAAAAAGCCATGGGAAAGGATTAGGAAACTCTTCCAATTTCAGGGCATCTACACAGATGGGCAGCCCCTCTATGTTGTTGTATGAGCCCTCCCCCATAGGCAGAGCTCACTTAAGAGCCATGCTGCCATCAGTTCCTTGACTATACAGACCCTGCCTCCTCATCTCTGAGCAAGATACAAAATTTGTAACAGGAAACGAATTAATTTTGCTGGAATGTATATCCACTCACTCAGTCTGCTTCCACCCTGACATGCCAGGAGGACTGAGGGTCTTCCATGGGAAAGGATTATGGGTGCAGGAAGAGAATGTCATGTTGACACCACTCTTCTCCCTCTAACAGTTTAGGGTCAGTACATCGGAATTTTCATTCCTTTCATCCTCACACCATACAGTGGAAGGGAGTTTGGGCCCAAAATGTTAGTTTGAAAATACTAGTTGTATTAAGAATGACTACAGCAGCTTAATGATTGTAATTTATTTAAGAAAAAACCACACTGAGAATAAAACAGAAAGCTACTAGAGAGCATTTACTGAAGATTTTACAGAAACTGTTGAGTAAATGTACAAATGTTTTCTATTCTTACAGTACTTAAATAAAAAGGAAAGAAATAGTAGGGGCAAAAATAAAGATAAAACACTATTCACAACCACCAAAACAATAACCACAAGTCTACCAAAAACTCTATTTAATAACAGTTTCTTTATACAAATATTTTAAGAACTTTAAATTTCCTTTGATAATTTTAGGCAATTTTATCCTAACAAGTGCCAAATGTTGTGTCTGCTTTAAAGACTTCAAGACTTTGATGCTTTTACCAAGGCTGTTTTTTCCTTAATTACGTTTCTCTTTTAACTGAATAAGAGACTAAATATGATCTTAGCTAGCTGGTTTTAGTTTAACTATTGTAAATATGTTCCATTTTAGAGTAAACAAACAATTTAATAGAAAAAGCAACATGCATAACAAATCAATGACTATGGTAAAAACAACAATTGTAAATAAGCTCACTATAGTTCAGTACATTGTAGTAATGTAGGTTTTAGCCTGTTTTTATAAAGTATATTAAACTAATACTGAATATTAGAGACCCATGGGGGGTGAGGTCGTATCTTTTATTGGCCAACTTCTGTTGGTGAGAAAGACAAGCTTCCGAGCTTACACAAAGCTCTTCTTCAGTACAGACATTTTTCTATATAACATCAGCTTTTTTTTGCCCCCCCGGGGGGAGGAGGGGGAGAATTCTGGTAACGATCAGTTTATGCATAAACATTTGTACCACTTACACCCAGCATATTAAAACTGTACAGACTCAACATTCCAAATTTGTTCTGCATGCATTTGCCAAATTCAATATAAAATTCTAACCTCTTATTGTGTTAATGTTCTTAGCACAAGCTAAGCTTCAATAATGTGGGAGAATAGTATGCCTGGGCATTCAATTAGCTAAGATCCCAGTAAGTCTCTGAACTAAAATCAGAAATTCACTATACAAAATACTCTCATATACAATTAGAAGTCAGCAAAATTCAAATCAGCCAAGAGACTGCTGACAGAAAAGACAGCTCTAATTTTTTGCAGTTTTTTTTAGTGAAAGACAGAAGTCCAAGCAAAGCACTACTGAAATGTTCACAATTGGACTGGTGTAAGCAGGGAGAACATGAGAATGGCCATACTGGGTCAGACCAGAGGTCCATCAAGCCCAATATCCTGTCTTCGGACAGTGCCGGGTGCCCCAGAGGGAATGAACAGACCAGGTAATCATCAAGTGATCCATCCCCTGTTGCCCATTCCCAGCTTCTGGCAAACAGAGGCTAGGGACACCATTCCCGACCATCCTAGCTAATAGCCACGGATGGACCTATCCTCCATCAATCAAAAAAAGGAAAACTAAAAAAATACTTGAAAAATGGAAGTGCAGAGAAGCCATAACCACCGACAACTCTTCAAACATAGCCAGACTAGCATTTTACTCTTTCTTTGCCCCGCCCACCCCCACTCAGTAGACACAGAGCTGGTTTTAAAAGTTTTGCTGCCAAAGTAATCTTCCTGAGTGGAAGCTGCCTATCAATCCAAATTGTATGGTGATTTTGTTTGCAAACAGGAAGTAGGAAGAGACTCCAAAACTTGATTTATTTGGGACACAAATGTTTCAGATCGAAGCTTTCAAAAGTGACACATGATTTTGAGTGCCTCAGTTACTGGGTGTCCAATTTGACACACCTTGGAGGGTCTAGTTGTCAAAGTGCTGAGCATCCATCCTCTGAAAACCAGTCCCTTTATGGTGCCTCAGAAGTTGAATACCCCCAAAATTGAAGCACTTAAAATTACTAGCCATTCTTGATTATTTAGAGATAAAAGGCTAATGTACAAATACACTAAACCACCTAGACTGCCTCTCCCCCTCAATTAATATATCTACTTATAACTTACTCTGGTTTAAGAGATTTTATTTTGAATGTAAAATAAAAAAAAAATTAATCACAAGTTTCATTACTTTAAAAAAAACTTGTCCATTACTAGAGAAAAATATTTAAAACACTGCATGCATTTAGAATACTTGACATATGTTGAGAAATTCACTTTCACTAGAGTGAGGCAATTTAGCACAATAATACAGCTGTTTTAATGCACTATCACTTTGCTCCTTGGTGAAGTTGGTTCAAGTGTTCACTGAAATTTAAGAAGAGATCACAGTAAAAAGGTAGAGTTTCTGGATCTCATATAAGTTAGCCTGCAGCAATCTCTCTCAGTGATTAGATGTGTGTTTGCCACAATGAAGGGAGAGGGAATGGGATATTTGAGTCATTCAGTTCCAATGGGTTGGCCTATGTTATGCATACTGTGAGAGCAATTATCAACAGGAAGTAGATGTAAAAACATGCTGTTGTTTTTAAGCTCATTTTTAGAGGGTGGAAAAGTTTGGGACTGTGAAATACAACTGAAAAAACAGATAATATGTTTTTAATAAACAATATAAATGTTTGCATCGTTAAAGCTGACAGAAAACAATAGCACTTTCATGTAAGTACAAACCTAGCACACGAAAAAGTTCTCAATAGGAAAGAAAGCTGTTAATAGCAGGGATACTCATAAAATAGAAGATAACTAGTGCCCTACCAAATTCCCGGCCAAAACGCATCACAAACAATGAAATCTGGGGTCCCCCCATGAAATCTGGTCTTTTGTGTGCTTTTCCCCATACTATACCGATTTCACAGGGGAGACCAACGTTTCTCAAATTGGGGGTCCTGACCCAAAAGCGGGTTGCAGCAGGGTCGCAAGGTTATTTTAGAGGGGATTGTGGTATTGCCACCCTTACTTCTGCGCTGCCTTCAGAGCTGGGCAGCCAGACAGCGCTGGCTATTGATTGGGTGCCCAGCTCTGAAGGCAGTGCCCACCAGCAGCAGCGCAGAAGTAAGGGTGGCAATACCAATCAGGTAACATTTAATGTTAGCTTTTACCAGGAAGCAAGACTGCCATTTGGCAAAGTTATTTATAGACACACAATCAGGAATGATCACAGAAAATCTATTTAAAGGAAGAACCACTAAACATAATGCAGTCCACACACACACAAAAATCCTAGTTAAAATGGTCTGACTAAATCTACAAAAGCCAGGAAACTTTCATGTAAATTATCTCATGCTATTGTATCTAAAGTCTTTTGCAGCATATTGCCCTCAGTGCTTATGCAACGTGAAAAATTAGGAACCGTATATGATGGTAAGAACAGAGTTAGCGGTTTGTTATTTGAATTTTCTGGATTTTGTAGGTTTTTCTCAAAACATTAAGATTTTAATCATTTTTATTGGCATTTTTTTTTTTTTTTTTTTTTTTTTTTTTTTACACAGAACTGTATTTTTTAGTGTCAGATCCCTCAGTCGAGATTGCAACATATCTTACTGAAAGAATGAGGCATACCCTTAGAAAAGGGACCCACTCCTAAGGATGCATGGTTACAATTCACTCATTGAGAACACGAGTTCAATAAATGTCAGGTAGTGACAGACTATCTTAGGTTCTTTGAAAAGATGGGGAATATTTATTTTTACATACAGCAATAGCACAAATAGTTACATTAACACTATAAAAATGTAAATATGAAATCATCTATCATGAAACACTTCAGCATTGTGTTAATGCAAAAAAAAAAAGTTACACTGACTAGAAAAACTGGATGAAATGCAATAAACGAACAGAAAAATTGATGAAAACTAAACTGATTCCCCCCCCTCCCAAATTTCAATCAACATAGAAGATTATTATTTATATTAAGTTAGTGCCAAGAGGCATTGTGATAGGCACCGTACAAGCACAGCGTGGAGACAGTCCCTACCTTAAGAGTTTCCAGTCTGAACAGGCATGACAGACCAAGGATGGGAGGGGATTAAGAAAGTCAGAGGTGAAATGACCTGCCACAGGTAATACAGCAATTTAGGGGCAGAGCTGGAACTAAAACCCAGATCCCTCAGCTTCCAGTTCAGGAACCTACCTACTAGACAATACTGCCTTCCAGTATTTTAGTGTAACCGGTGAATTTCTGGTTATGATTTGTTTGAATTAAAGCTCTGGTGCTTTACAAATTGTCAAATTTTAATT